GCTCTTCCTGCTGCAGAATAAAGGGGAATGTGCTGCTCACCGGGCAGAGGTGTAGAGAGCAAGAGCTGGTAGAAAAGCAGTTAGTGTTGAAAACCCTTCAGAAACGCAGTTGGGTACAAAACCCCAAAACCTGAGCACACCTCTCTGGATATTATCTCCACCAGGAAAAGCAGAGAGGCTGTCACATGCCAGGCTTCTTCATCCTATTTTCTCCTGACTCCTGTGTGTCCAGATGCTGGTTCACTTTCCTCCTGGTTTTGAAGTGGAGGATTTCTATCGCTCTCCCCTTTCCCAGCACTGCCCCTGCAACCGCCCTGCTGGGGTCTGTGAGGAAAGCCCAACCCTGCAGGTGTGCAGGGCCAGGGCTCACTTTGGGGAAAATGAAGAAGGAAAAGCTGAGAGAAGTAGGATGCTCTCACTGCTCTCCTGCCGATCCACCTCTCTCGGCACTATGATCACTCAGCAAAGCGCTTGGCTCTTTGAAGAACGGATCAGTATAGACGGGGCTTGGCTGGCACTGTAAGGAGAAGGTGGGGCTCTGCTGGTGATGGAGCAGGAGATGAAGGAGTGAGTCAGAAAGAACCCAGTTAAATGCACAGGGGTCTATCTCCACCCCTGAGCTTCTCCGTACCGGGAGCCACGGTGAGCCTCTCAGTTAAAGATGCTGGGGTAAAATACGTTTGATGCTCAGAGACTGCCATGTGCAGCCACCAGAAAATTTTGCAGATAGCTGGCCAGGATTCTGCTCTCACTGCCAGTGCTGTAAATCCAGAGTAGCGACCCCGACTTTCCTGGCTGTGTTTAGAGCAGCACAAAACCTGGCTTCATGTTATAACCGCTGTAAAAGCAGGATGGGTCAGATTCACGCCTGGTGGAGCACGACGGAGGAGTTGGGGGCAGCACTCTATTAATGAAGTTATTATTCAAATGAAGAACTTAAAACAAAAAAAAAAAGAGAAGGATGGAGTTGCTGGTGACACTGACCGACATTGTTCGGTGATCACAGTAAGGAGATCTGCTCAGCAAACAGGGAGAGCAGAGCTAGCGCCAGGGTGCAGCTGCCGCACAGGGGGAGTGGTGCCAAGGGGGCCGTGTTTCGGAGCATGCACTCCACCCTGGACCAGGAGCCATTGTTGGGCAGCGGCTGTATTCCTGCCAGGCTGCACATGATGTTGTAAACATCCACGGATCTGATGGGAGGCGCTCGGAAGTTGGATCGGAAATCTGCAGGGAAAACAAGCAAAGAGAGGAGTTGGCGTCGTACAGTTTGGGGCTCAGCTCCTGAAACACAGGGCACTGTGGGGCAACACAGCTCAGCAAAAACATTTTAAATGTTTTAATTCATTATTTTTACTTCTAGTTCAATTTTATTCTAAAAACTAAAAAAGAAAAATTAATTAAATTATTAACTACAGGAGCTACTTTACTGTGTATGCTTGGTAGATTTAATAGCCTGCAATAATTGTATTGCACATTCTGCTCTGCTTTCGCTCCTGTCTGCAGTCGCAGCCTGGTGCTCGGCAGTGTTTTCCACTGATGAAGGGGAAATCAGGGGTTTCGCGTCTGCCCAGCGGACAGGTGGGCGAGGTATGCTGCAACCTTTCCAAAGAAAGTGCTCTGCGCTAGTGAGTCCGAATCCACCAACAAAAGGAGAATTCATGTGTTTCAAATAGAATTAAAAATTTAGGCCAGTCTTGGAAAATAGGGCAAAGGGATAGAGTTAATGTGCTGGGACGTCAGAGAGGGGCTGACCAAATCCCTTTATGTCTCTCTGCCCTGTTTCTCCAGCTATAGAACAGATACAGAGCTAGAAATCTTCCCGGCATCCAGCCGTAGTGAGGAAATCCTGCCACCTATTTGTAATTTTTGGGCGTCGCAGAGTGGCACATCAGGGTCCTGACATGCCAGGGCTGCAGGGACACTGGGGGCAGGGGCCCTGGGGCTGCGAGGGGAGCAGGACACCAGGGATGGTGGCGTTGTACCTGGCCCGTACGCAAGGAAGAAGGCTCTCATGTCCATGAGCTCGTTGTCATAGCCGTGCCAGCCATTCTGCCAGGCCTCCTTCTTCCCCGTCCCGTTCTCCCAGAAGGGCAGCTTATCCCTGCTCTGGGCGACAACAGCAGAGCGCGGTTAGTGCCCGCCTGCCAGGCCGTGCATGGTGTGCCACGGGGGCACCGTGGTGTGCCATTCTGTGTCTCTGTGTGCTCTACCACCCCATCAGGCCCACGCACCGTGCCGTCAGCTGCACAGGGGCTCATCACTGGAGGGGTGACCCCTGACTTTGCCGTCTCAGCGAGCAGCCATCTCCCGGCTGAGCGGGCAGGACAACTTTCTGCCTCTCACTCATCTAAATTTCTGCTGTGAGCACAAAGTATCACAGCCATACGTGAGATGTGTAAGCAAGGTGGTGTTCCTCTCCCGCTGCATGCTAGCAGCTCCGCTCTCCCACCCGGCGCCACGCACTCCCACGGATTTGATGGTGTGGTGTTCTGCTCGACATGCCATTGGCACCATAGAAGAAGAAGCCATTTTTGCTCCGTTTGACTAGTCAGCCTAAACAATACAAGTATCACCCCTACTATACTCTTTCTAATTATTATTATTTCTTCTCCCTGCTTGTTTTAGTATTAAAGCCATGAGGTTTCTTCCAGGGAATGCAGGCTCAGACCTAAGATGGTCCCCTTCTCCCTGGCATAGACACTCTCAGTTTTCTCTCCCTGCTCAGTGCCCATGCTTTAATAATTCATCATCATAATTCTTGTTTTTCCTTGCCCATATTGCACTTAAGTCATACTTTTAAATTCCTTCCTTACTTTCTCCTGCTCCATATTAACAGCTCTTACCAGACTACCTACAATAGTGCCATATCCTGGCCCTCTTGGGAGCAGCGGTCCCTAGGGGCTGCTCAAAATGCTCACCCAACCCTCTCCGCGAGTTTCTCTTGTCCCGTGCTCCCTAGGGATGGCAGCAGACGTGACACTCCAGATATCCCCAAAACTATGGCAGGAATTTCACTTAGACAAAGAACATCAGCTGACAGTTTGTGAGACCCCTGGCATGAATTTATCTGATGGTTACAGAGAAGGAGCTACAGTTCCCTAAAGCGGCCAGATCTGGGCTTCACACTCCGTCACAGGAGCACAGAAGATGCCCCAACAGAGTCTCCCACATTCCCACCCTGGGCGAGTGGTGCCACAACCCCTGCAGATGGTGAAGCGGATTGACCCAAGATCCCTTTCCTTTTACAAACATTTATTTTGTCTGATTTTTGTTTTCCTCCTCTGCCCAAGAAGAAAATTGACCATGCGCAGGAGCACTGGGGCCGGCAATGATTACGGCTATAAGGG